TCCTCTGCGAACCCTCCACCTAGACGTGTGGGGCCCAGCCCGCGTTCGTGGACAGGGCTGTGAGCGGAACTTTCTGCTGGTTGTCGACGACTACTCGCGGTACACCACGGTCTTCCCCTTGCGCACCAAGGGTGAGGTCCCTGCTGTCCTGATCCCTTGGATCCGAGCAGTTTGTCTCCGTCTCCGCCACAGGTTCCGCTAGGACCTTCGTGTCCTGCGTCTGCACTCTGACAGAGGTGGTGAGTTCACCTCCGACCTCTTGCGGGCCTTCTTTCAGGGGGAAGGCATCGAGCAGTCATTCGTGTTTCCGGGCTCACCACAGCAAAATGGGATTGCTGAGTGCCCCATTGGCTTTGTCATGGAGGTCGCTCGTACCTCCTTGATTCATGCGGCAGCTCCCCATTTTCTGTGGCCGTTTGCGGTCCGGTACGCCGCGCAGCAGCTCATCCTCTGGCCCCGTGTCTCCTTGCCGGAGACCTCGCTCATACTGCGTTGGACGGGGGAGGTTGGCGATGCGTCGCGTTTCCGGGTCTGGGGTGCTCGTGCCCTTATCCGCGATACGTCCGCGGACAAGCTCTCCTCCCGCACCATTCCCTTTGTCTTCCTTGGCTTTGTCCCTGACGCGCCTGGCTGGCAGTTTTACCACCCCACCTCGTGCCGTGTCTTCCCCTCTCAGGACGTCACCTTTGACGAGTCGGTTCCTTTCTACCGTCTCTTTCCCTACTGCACTGCCCGTCTCCCTCCCCCACCGCTTTTCCTCGCTCTAGGTCCCCCTCCGGTAGACCCCCTCCCCCCTCAGGGTCCTGCTCCTTCAGGTGTGTCTCAGGTAGACCCGCCCCCCTTGGCTGAGCCTGTAGAGGTCACTAGCGACTCAGGTGCTGCTGCGGGAGGTGCTGCTGGGGGCGCTGCTTCTGAGGGTGCTGAGCCTGCGCGTGAGGTGCTGGGGAGTGCAGAGCCTGGGGGTGCTGAGCATGCGGTTGCGGAGTCTGGGGGTGCTAAGCCCGTCCATGAGGTGCCGGGGGGTACGGAGCCTAGGGGTGCTGAGTCTAATGGCGTTCCTCTGGGTCTCATTTCACAACACGGGCATGTCTTACCACAGCAGGCACGAGAGTGGCTTGCGTCGCGTACCCGCCTGAGGAGTCGTTCTGCTGGAGCTGTTTATCGTGGAGGCGCTGGGGGTGCTGGTGTCTCTGGTACTGGAGCTGCCGGGACTAGTGCTGCTCCTAGAGCTGGAGGTGTCGGTTCTGGGGGTGCTGCTGCTGGAGGCACTGGGGCTGGAGGCCCTGGAGCTGGTGTTGTCGACCCCGGAGTTGGAGACCCTGGAGCTAGAGGTGCCGGTTCTGGGGGTGCTGCTGATGGAGGCCCTGGCACTGGTCCTGTCGACCCTGGAGGTGGGGACCTTGAGGCTGGAGGTGCCGGTTCTAGGGGTGGTGCTACTGGTGGCGCTGGAGCTGGAGGTTCTTGAGCTACTGGAGGCACTGGAGCTGCAGGTACTGCTGCTTGAGACGTCGGAGCTGGAGGTGCTGCTGCTGAAGTCGCTGGAGCTGGAGGTTTTCAAGCTGCTGGAGGCGCTGGAGCTGTTGGAGGCGCTGGAGCTGGAGGTGCTGTAGCTGGAGTCACTGGAGCTGGAGGTGCTGCTGCTGGAGGCGCTGGAGCTGGAGGTTCTAAGCTGCTGGAAGCGCTGGAGGTATTGGTACTGGTGGCACTGCACCGTCGCTACTGTTTTTCGCTCTGCCATCACCGTCGTCGCTGCCACTACCTGACTCCGTGCTTCGCCAGATTCTTAGCCTCCCGTCTTCTACTAGCCTCTCGTTACATCCCGGCGCAGCACTGCCTGCTCCTTCTCCTTACACTGAGCAGACAGACTCGCTTATAGAGCATCGTGAGCCTGCGTCTCGTCCTGCCTCGCCTGTTCGCGCTGGTCGCACTGGTCGTTGTGTTCCTCGTGAGCGTCCTCCTCATGTTCCCTACACGCACGCTATGGCACTTTGTCCTTCTTCTGTTCCACAGCGTGTTCCCCTACCTTCTCCTCCTGCATCTTCTCTGCCTGACGTTTAGGACCCTGAGCCTGACTTGGTTCTTGCACACCCTATTGTCACGCGTCTGCTCGCCACTGTTGTCACTGTTGTCATTGAGTCTAACCTGGTTCATGCTGCTCTGTCTGCCTTAGTCTCTGAGCTTGTTGATTTTGCTACTGCCTGTCGTCTAGACTACGCTGCTAGTCTTGTTGCTGAGTCCGAGTCTGTCTGTCCTCCGTCCGTCGGGGGTGAGTGTGCTCTTGGCACGGACGTCCTTCAGGACAGGCAGGAGGACTTTGAGTGTCTTGCAGCCACTGCGCCTCATCTCGTGGCCATACTGCTTGCCCCTAAGGGAGACCCGGATGCACCAGACATCCCGACTCCGAGTTCTTACGTTGAGGCGATTGCGGGTCCCTACTCCTCTCAGTGGCAGAGAGCCACGGACGCAGAGATGGCATCCTGGAAGTCCACAGGCACTTACGTGGATGAGGTTCCCCCTCGTGGGGCGAACATCGTCGACGGCATGTGGATTTTCAGGGTGAAGCGGCCGCCAGGTTCTCCGCCTGTCTTCAAGGCTCGTTACGCTGCACGAGGCTTCAGTCAGTGATAGGGAGTTGAATTCATCTGGACCTTCTACCCCACCCCGAAGATGACCACTCTTCAGGTGTTGCTGCACGTTGCCGCTCAGCGTGACTATGAGCTTCACTCCCTGGACTTCAGCACAGGATTCTTACAAGGCAGTCTGCACGAGGAGATTTGACTACGCCGCCCACCTGGCTTCATTGCTGGCCTCAGAGGCCACGTAAGCAAGGCACAGCTGACCACGCTGCTGCAGCTCACGAGCAAGGAAGTAGCAAAGAGCAATGTGCTTCGTTCTGTGCTCCAGTCTGTGCTCTCGACACAAGGCCAGCATGGCCTTGTTGTCTACGTACAAAACCGGAGGAGAACGAGGCGGCTCTCCTAGGTCAGTCAGCAGGTAGGTGAGCCAGCATAGCTCCTGTGCAGCCATGGCCCCCGCGTAGATCTCAGCCTCACAGCTGGAGCCGAGAACAGAAGACGAGCGAGTAGACCGCCACGAAACAGAGCCGGAACCAAGGCTGAAGGTGTAACCCTGTGACGACCGCTGCGTAGCCTGGTCGTCAGCCCAAGAAGCGTCTGCGTGACCTGTGAGGACCACTAAACGCCGCCCTCCAAGCACTAGCCCCATGCCCGACGTACTGCACAGGTAGCGCAACACCCTCTTTGCTGCCGCCATGTGCTCTGGTCGGTGTCTCCCAGGAGCAACATAGCGTGCCAAGATGTTAAGGGGGTATGCAAGGTCAGGTCGAGTGCAGGTCATCAGGTACATGAGGCAGCCAACAAGCTCTGGGTACATGCCACTCGGCTCTACAGACTCATCCGAAGGCAGAGCTGAGAGCGAGTGGCGAGTAGACAGAGGAGTGGCCCGAGGCGAGGAGTACGTTAAGTCGAAGCGCTGAAGGACCTGCTGCACCATGTGTGACTGACTCAGGGTAATGGTGCACTGTGCTCTGTCCCGGGTGATATGCAAGCCAAGGTAGCTGCGCAGTTCACCCAGGTCTGTGCACGTGTGTCTCTTCTGCAGCTCGGACTTCACGTGGGCGAGTCCAGCAGTGTCAGCAGTGGCAAAGACCAAGTCGTCGATGTACACGAGGATGTAGAAAGGCGGCAAAGAGGTGTCGGTGCGCAGAAACAGCGACGGGTCGGCAGTAGAAGGAGCAAACCCAAGAGCCGCAAGTGTAGTCCTCAGTGTGTCGTGCCACTCACATGGCGGAGACCGTAGAGTGGCCGCCAGAGGCTCCATAGGGTACCAGGAGGAAACGACCTAGTGAAGTCAGGTGGGCGGCGCAGCCAGATCTCCTCGTGCAGGCTGCCCTGTAGGAAAGCATTTCTCAAGTCAAGAGAGTGAAGCTCGTAGTCGCGCTGAGCGGCTATGTGCAGCAGCACCCGAAGAGTGGTCATCTTCGGGGTGGGAGAGAAGGTCTGAAAGTAGTCAACTCCCTGTCGCTGACTGAAGCCTTGAGCCACGTAACGCGCCTTGAAGACAGGCGGAGAACCTGGCGGCCGCTTCGCCCTGAAAATCCACATGCCACTGACGATGTTCGCCCCAGGAGGGGGAACCTCGTCGACGTAGGTGCCTGTGGACTTCCAGGAAGCCATCTCTGCGTCCATGGCTGACTGCCACTGTGAGGAGTAGGGACCCTCGATCGCCTCAGCGTACGATCGAGGAGTCGGGATGTCTGGTGCATTCGGGTCTCCCTCAGGGGCAATCAGCATGGACACTAGATGAGGCAAAGCAGCAGCAAAACACTGGAACTCCTCTTGCCTGTCCTCAAGGACATCCGTGCTAAGAGCACACTCACCCCCGACGGACAGAGGACTGACAAATTCAGACTCAGCAACAAGACTAGCGGCGTAGTCTAGACGACAGCGAGCAGCAAAGTCGACAAGCTCATAACGAAGGCAGACGCAGCAGTGGACTCAAAAGGAAGGGTCAGTGACAACAGTAGCCAGGAGACGCGTGACAGTAGGACTGGCAGCACGAAGAGAGTCAGACTCCGGGTCAGCAAGAACAGGAAGAGAGGACTCTGGACACGCAGAGGAGCAGTGGAAGGACGCAGTGCCATCTGGTGTGTGCCTGGGACCGCAGGAGGACGCGGACGCGGAACACGACTACTAGTGCGAGCAGCACGAACAGGCGACGCAGGACGAGACGCAGGCTCACGACGCTCAGCAAGACCTCCAGTAGGACCACTGTAGGGAGAGGGAGCAGGCAGTGGGGAGGCGGGCTGTAACTGCGACTCAGACTGGACAGGCGGTGGACACTCTAAGGAAGGAGCAGGACCAGCAGAAGGCGGGAGACGAAGAACCTGCTCAAGGAGCGGAACGAAGTACGGCCGCGGCCGCGCAGCGCCTCCAGAGCCAGCAGGGACAGCACCAGCACCCCCAGCGGCAGCACCAGCACTAGTAGCACCCCCAGCTGTTTCGACAGAAGAGGACACGAGTCTGGTGAGACAGAAGACGACACGAGCAGGCGGCAAACGCAGGAACAGACCTGGACGCCGTAGCAGACACCTGACCCGACGCAGCTACCTGACCAGACGCAGAGACCGGAGGAGACTCAGTAGTCAGTGTGTACAGGCTCGACCCCGGCCGTCGGGTAAACGTGGCCAAGTGTCGGCCCGTCGGAGCACACGTGCAGTGGGTCACTCGCTGACGCGCAGGAGTGAACTGGTCAACCCCCCCATCCTGTAGGTCAGCACCACTCACCAAGTTCGTAGAGAACGAGGGGAGGAAGAGACCTGACAGGGTGCCAGAAGGGGCCGCGGAACACAGTAAGACAGTGGAGAAGCAGGCAAGGACAGGACCCCCAGAGGGGTCTGCCAGGGAGACCGCAACTGGCCGACTAAGCGGCGTGAGTGTGGTGCGGTCTTGAAAGAAGGAGCGGGAAGCACCCGAGTCAAGGGTGAAGGTGTGGGAGGCCTGAGCCGACGTGGTACCTGAGAGAGCAGACTCACCAGCACCTGGGGCAGCAGACTCACTTGCACCTAGAGCAGCAGCCTCACCAGCACCTAGAGCAGCAGTCCCAATGCCCGGGTCAGGCGCAACACACAGGTAACAGTCACCCTCATCACTAGTAGACACAGCATACATGGCAGCAAGAATAGCATCATAATCAAGATCAAAGATTGCAACCCCCGACCTCTGCAGCTCTCCCCTGCGAGGGATCTCAGTGGCGTCAAGGAATTGGAGATGCCAAACATCCGTCAGGCGGCCGAAGCAGCGCTGGGTGGGGTGCGGGCCCCCCGCACTGCTCACCCGTACGGTCGCCGGTACGCAGGACGTAGGTACTGGGACCAGCACCCCCACCTCGCTGACGCGAAGCGTACCACTCACGAAGCTACTTGGGGGGCGGGGTCTCAGGACTGCTCTTCTGCTGCTGGCGGTGACCACCAGCGGAGCCGCCCCTCTGCGCAGAGCCGCCCCGACCAGTCCCACCGCTGCCGCCGCCACCTCCACTGCCGCCGCCACCTCCGCCTCCTCCGCTTCCACCACCACGGCCGCCACCTCCTCCGCCTCCACTGCTGCCACCGAAGCCCCCACCCCCGCCACCGCCTCCACCGCCACCTCCACCGCCCCCGCTAGCTCCTCCAGCACCCTTGGCCCCCTTGTCCTTGCCGTTGCGGCGTCTCCCGCTAGGGGCAGACGCAGCTCCGATTGACTCGAGGCCAACAAGGTCGGCCGCAGCAGCAGAGGCAACAGAGGGCAGGAAGGGGGAGGGGGAACACCCCTCAAAGAAGGGAGTACGAGGGTCACCACGAGAGGCTCCTACGGCGACTATGCTCTTCTCAGCTGGCAGCAGGCGCTCCTCGAGGAGGTCAATAGTGAGTGTGGTGGGGCAAACAGAGAGGAAGTGGTCCCTAACCGAGCGAAGGGAGTCAGGGAGCCTAGTGACTATGTAGTAGAGGGTGATGTACATGGGGGGAGGGTTCTTGGCGCAGAACTCAGCAGGAAGTTCAGTGCGGTAGCGAGTGTCACTAGTGCGAAGGTGCGTAATGAGGTCAGCGACTGTGGAAAAGGCGGCGAGGTGAGGGAACAGGTACTGCAGCATGAGGCGACTAAGAGCAGCAGTGGCAGGGGAAGAGTAGCGTGCAACTACAGCGTCGTACATGGTCTTAGCGCTCTTATACTGACCAAAAAGCGCGCGCTCAGAGGACGGCAAGTGACATCGAACAGCAAGACGGGCAGCAGCATCACGTGTGTCCCACTATGAGCAAACAGTGCTGTCAGCATCGGCAGGAGGGGCAGGAGAGGCGCCTGACGTGAGATCGAACAAGGAGAGACCATCTGTCCTATCGCACTCTAGGAAAAGCTGTAGGTCATCGACACAGACCTCAAAGTCGACAGCCTGACCCTGAGCATAAAAAGTGAGAACATTAGGAGCAGCCATGGTAGCAGTGGCAGCACCAAGCTAGCAGTAAGAGCAGGGCGGTGGTAGAGGCGCTGCTCAGGAGTGCTCTTACCAGGGCGGGTAGGTAGAGGCCCGCAGGTGGTGAGGCAGGGCCGAGGCGCGTCGGCAGGGACAGGGCCGCAAGAGTGGCGGCAGCGGCGGCGACAGCGGCTGTGGCGGCTGCGGAGGGTGCTGTCTCGGCTGCGGCGGCAGCGGTTGCGGCTTCGGGAGCGGCAGCGGCGGCGGCAACGGTGGCGGCGGTCGGCAGCAGAGGCGGCTGCAGTCAGCAGCGGCGGTGGCTGCAGCGGTAGAGGTGGCCGCTGCTGCTGCTGGGACCGGGAGGGGCCGCGTAGGGGGGCGACGAGGCCGCGAAGGGGCCACGAGGGGCCGAGAAGAGCGGGGACGGGGCCGCAATGGGCGGTGACGGGGCCGCAACGGGCGGCGATGGGGCCACGAGGGGCGGCGACGGAGCCGCTAGGGGCGGCGACGGGGCCGCGAAGGGCGGCGACGGGGCCGTAACGGGCGGCGACTGGGCCGCGAGGGGTGGAAACGGAGCCGCGAGGGGCGGCGACGGGGCCGCTAGGGGCGGCGACGGGGCCGCGAAGGGTGGCGACGGGGCCGCTAGGGTTGGCGACGGGGCCGCGATGGGCGGCGACAGGCCGCGAAGGGCGGCTACGGGGCCGCTAGGGGTGGCGCGAGGGGCCGTGAGAGGGGCCTTTAGGAGGGCGCGACGGGCCGCTAAGGGCAGGGGACGCGACGAGAGGGCGGCCCACGGGGCGCGTCTCGGGCAGGGGCGACTCGCGCTCCAGTCAGATTTTTTTTTTTTTTTTTTTTTTTTTTTCGATTTTCTTAGTGGTGGGCCCTAGGATTCGTTCCCACTATGGAACCTGCTCTATACCATGTTAAGAAATGAGGTATGATTGACTAAGGGAAAGGTTGGGTACAAGTACAAACCTAGAAATGTGTTGTACCCCATATGTGCTACCCAACTATAGCCTACACAGACTAAGTCATACAAGTCTGACAGGGTTTGCCCCTTCCACTGCTGACCTGTCGCTGTTTCTACGCACTGACACTTCACTGCCGTCGTTCTACATCCTCGTGTACGTCGACGACTTGGTCTTTGCCACTGCTGACACTGAGGCTCTCGCACTTGTAAAGTCGGAGCTGCAGAAGAGACACACGTGCTCAGACCTGGGTGAGCTGCGCAGTTACCTTGGCTTGCAGATCACCCGGGACAGAGCACGCCGCACCATCACCCAGACTCACTCACACATGGTGCAGCAGGTCCTTCAGCGCTTCGGCTTCACTTGGTCCTCGCAACTGTCCACTCCTCTGGCTACAGGTCACTCGCTCTCAGCTCCACCTTCGGACGAGTCCGTAGAGCCGAGTGGCCCGTACTCAGAGCTAGTAGGTTGCCTCATGTACCTGATGACCTGCACTTGTCCTGACCTTGCGTACCCTCTTGGCCTTATGGCACGCTACGTGGCTCCTGGTAGGCACTGAAAGGTGCACATGGATGATGCGAAGAGGGTTTTGTGCTACTTGTGCAGTACATCTGGCATGGGGCTCGTGCTTGGAGGGCGGAGCTTAGTTGTCCTCACTGGACACTCAGACGCTTGTTGAGTTGATGACCAGGCTACGCAGCGGTCGTCACAGGGTTACACTTTCAGCCTTGGCTGCAGCTCTCTTTCTTGGGGGTCTACCCGCTCGTCTTCTGTTCTCAGCTCCAGTTGTGAGGCTGAGATCTACGCCACAGCCATGGCTGCACAGGAGTTACGCTGGCTCACCTACCTGCTGACTGATTTGGGAGAGCGGCCTCGTTCTCCTCCAATTCTGTACGTAGACAACAAGGCCGCCATTGCCTTGTGTCAGGAGCACAGACTGGAGCACGGAACGAAGCACATCGCTCTGCGTTACTTCGTGGCTCGAGAGTTGCAGCAACGTGGTCAACTTCGTCTTGCTCACGTGGCCACTCAGGCCAACACTGCTGATATATTCACCAAGGCACTTCCGTCTGGTGATCATCAGCGCTTCTGTACTATGTTACGCCTTGTGCCTGTTTTGTCTCACTTGCTCACTTCGTGACTTTTCTTGTACTGTGATCTATATATATACCTGCATGCTTGCTCTTGCTAGGTAGTGATCAGTGTACTGTTGTCGTTGCATTTATGCCTCTGCATGTGACCTGGCCTTGTGGCCCTTTGCTTGTGCTCGAGTGTGTGGTGACATTGAGATCCACCCCGAGTTTGATTTGCTTTTCTTGACTGGTCTTGTGACCCTTTGTTCTCCCCCACTTTGTCGGAAATTCCCTTACCTCTTCCCACCTTATGGCCTTTCCCGCATCTCCTTCCTTCTACCCTCCTTCCTTCTTCCCTCTTCTCTGCTCATTGGTACCTTCGCCATCCTCGGAGTATTGCCCCTGGCTCATTGCATACTGCTGCTCCTCTCTGTGGTGTTACCTTCTTCCTTTTTACTTAACATGTGCTCCCTGTCACTCTCACTGCTTCTGATCCTTGATATCCCCTTGCCCCCTCCCGTGACCCTTCGCCGCCCTCGCCCTATTCACGGGACCCTGATATCCGCCCGCCCGCGCCACATTGGTAATGTGATCCACGGCCCTCACCCCCTCTTCACTTTCCAGCACCAGCACCCCTGAATCTCGCACCTCCTTCACTGTCCAGTGCTGCCGTGACAGTCCCACGTCCATTCCATCTTTCTTGGGGCGCCGTATGTACACCTCCTGTCCCTGCTGCAGCACCGCCGGCGCTCCTCCGGCCCGCTGCTCCTACCGCTGCCTGTATCGGTGGATGTCCCTCAGTTGAGCCACGTGCAGGCTCTCCAATGCCGCTGGTAGCAAACGTCGCATGTATTCCCCCCGGACTGCTGCCAATGCCGCCCACTTCTCCGATGTTCCCGCTGTCACCACATCCGTCAAAACTCGTGGGGCCCCTACTGGGAGCACCACTTCTCGGCCGAAGATCAGGTGGTAGGGAGAGAGATCTCTGAGCACCGCCTGCTTGCTGAACCTGTATCCAGCCATGATCCAGTGCAGGTGCCTGTCCCAATCCCGCTTCCTTGTCTCCCCATACGCTCGCAGCCCTCGCTTCAGGGTCTGAATGAGTCGCTCTGTCAGCCCATCACTCTGTGGATGATACCGGGACGTAGTGCGGTGGGGAATCAAACATGAAGACAGCACCTCCCCGCACGCTCCAAAGCGCGTCAGCACCTGTTCCTCAAAGGCGTTGGCCACCGCCTCAGCTGTTTTGTGGCTCACGGCTCGCACCTCCACCCACTTGCTCACATGTTCTATCATGACCACCACGTACCGCCGCCCCCGCTTGGTCAAGGGCAGTTCTCCCACCAGGTCCAGAGACCACCGATAGCCCAGCCCCACAATGGGCAGAGGCTGCAGCTCCGCCTTACTCCTCTCGAATGCCGCTCTGTTTCTGATGCACGCTGGGCATTTGGCCACCCAGTCCTTGACTTCCTTCTGCATCCCTGCCCACCACCATCCCGTCTGCAGCAGCTGCTGCGTGCGAAGCGGGCCAAAGTGCCCTAGCCAATTGTGCACCTCTTGTATCACTCCTCTCTCCTTTGGCTCCGACACTCGCTTCCATCCATCCTGTGTTCGTATCTGCACTTGATTTTGATACCAGCGGTAGTGTTGCCCCCTGCTTCGGGCCCTGGCTGAAACCACTGTTCCTTTCGCTGTCTCTCCCTTCAGCCATGCCAACGTCTCCGGATCTTCCCACACGTCCATGGCTCCGGCCTGCTGTTCCCTGCGCAGCGGCGTGACAGGGTCTGCCACCAATGCTGCCAGCGCCATTTCTGGCGCCACTGCCGGCGGGTTCCTGGACAGACCATCCACGTGCTGCATGGTCTTCCCTGGGCGATGCCGAATGATGAACTGATACTCTTGCAGCTTCATCGCCCATCTGGCGTTCCTTCCTGTCAGGCTCTGATTCTGCATCAGCCACAACAGAGGCTGATGGTCGGTAACCAGCGTGAAGGGCCTGCCTTGCAGGTACACTCGGAAGTGTCCTACCGCCCAGACGGCTGCCGGCCCCTCGCCCTCGTATGAAGAGTAGTTAGCTTCTGCGGGGTTGCACGAACGGCTAGCGAACGCCACCACCTTCTCCTCCCCTCTCTCTTGTTGGCTCAGGATGGCCCCCATGCCCGTGTTGCTCCAATCTGTGTAAAGCACAAAGGGTAGGTCCGCCCTCGGCAGCTGAAGCACTGCCCCATGTTTCACTGCTCCCATCAGATCCTTCAGCGCCGCTTTCTGCTGCTCACCTCACTGCCACTTGGCCTCGTCCTTCAGCAGCTTGTTTAATGGTGCCGCACTCCTACTGAAGTTTTCCACGAACTTGCGATAGTAATTGAGAAACCCCAGTAGAGCTCTGAGGGTACTTTTGTCTTTGGGCTGAGATATCTGATCCAGGATAGCCACCTTCGCTTGATGAATGGCCAGTCTTCCTCCCGCCACCTCGAATCCCAGGTACGTTACGGCTGTGTGCCCAAAGCGACACTTCTTCGGGTGGCAAGTTAGCCCCGCTTCCTTGATCCTTTGCAGCGCCTCGGCTAGGCGTTCCACGTGCTCTTCTGGAGTGGTACTAAACACGATCACATCATCGATGTAGCACAGGGCCCCTTCCATTCCCCGCAGCACCGCATCCATCATCTTTTGGAATGGCAATGAAGCATTCTTGAGCTCGAAG